GGGTCCGTTTACCCAAAATATTGACCGAAGTTAACAAAATTCATCTTTTTAAGCCAAAAATCATTATTTCTCAAAATTTTCACACTAAAGCTTTCCAACCGGATTGCGCACGCAAATTGAAGAGAGATAAAAGGAGGGTTTTAAGGCCTCAAAACACAGATTGACTTCTAAAACAAGAGATGACCGTTTGGGTCATCACATGAAAATTTTTATGTTTCTTTCTTACTGTATTCAACAAAAGAATTAAAAGTAAAAGGATCCAAAGCAAAAAACATTAATATGTCAAAATGCCCATTTAGAATTGTACAACCTTTTCACCCTTTAATCATATAATAATAATATGTGTAAAAATTGTAAATAAACATTCCAACGGATATTATTTAATATAATTTTTATAATTACCCATCATAATTATAGTCTTTAATTCAACATCAAATTATAGAAATACTCGCAATAGGATACTTATCAATTATATATGAAGTTTGAACAACCTAATTTTTGGAGCAAATGAGAAATTATTGTTATAACATTCTATAAATTAATCTCTTTATATTAAGTATATTACGCTAATTAGTCCTTATAATCTATCTATACTATATTAAAAGTACGAATGCCCTTAGCAAAATATCGTTCGACTTTTTTTATCCTTTAAAAAGAAAAAATTGTACTTTGGTTAATTTTCCTAATATTTAGGAATAATTATTTAATATTTTTCCTATTATTTAGGACGGTTTCTTCCAATTCTAGAATTCCTACACTTTCCATTAAGATTTAGGAGTATTAAATAAGCTTTCAATTCACAATAAGGTAGTCTCGATTACTATATACTCCTTTTAGGTTAGGCGGATTTTTGTTGTTTAACAAAATTTTCTCTTTTAACTCCATTTGTATTTATGAGAAGTTCACGTTATCTTTCCCAACAATTTAACATGACAAGACAAAGTTGTTATGGGGAATAAAAAATTAATTTCCTTCAATTTATATTTTCTTTAGTTCAAGTTTGATTCACAAGTTATTATTATTGTAGTTATCTCACAATTCCAAGTAATGTAAAGCATGTGCCATTTTATACATGAAACAAAACAAAATAAAAAAGAAACCGAGATTATAACTGGTAGAAAATTATTTATATGTATTTAGCGGGAATAAAAATTAAATTCAACTACATAAGAAATTATAATAGAATAGAAGTTAACAATCAAAGTGATCTTTTAAAATTTCTATCAAAATGCTTTTAGGAAATATAAGCAATTTAAATATATTTTTGAATAAAATCGAACTTAAGTTTAAAAGGTTACTATTTAAATGAGAACCAAAACAAGAAAACTAAAATGATACATTGTATAAATTGATGAAAAGAATAAATTTTAATTTTGATCTTAACATAAATTTCATATTCGAACTCTTTTAATATAATCTATCAAGTAATCTAAATATAATCATATATTCTTGACACTAAAATGATACATTGTATTAATTGACGAACAAAATAAACTTTAATTTTGATCTTAACATAAATTTTATATTCGAACTCTTTTAATATAATCTATCAAGAAATCTAAATACAATCATATATTTTTTAATTTCATAGAAAAATAATTTTCTGATGCATAAGGCTAACATCTGGGATGCATAATTATGCATTTGGACAAAGAAAGAAAGCTCCGACTAAAAGTAAAAAAAAAAAAATTATAGATTAATCATAATTTAGTTAGTTAATTATTCTACTTTTGCAATAATAATTTATCTTTTCTAATATATTGAAAATAAGTCTTATATATTATTTTTTACTGATTAAAGTAATCGAATATTTTGCATTTTGCTCATGAGGAAATAAACGTTTTGTGTAAGTTAAATGACTATGTTTCTGTCATTTTAAAATGAACTTTAAAATATATGTATTGTAAAAAAGAAATATCTAAAATATGCAAGGGTTACGTGCTCTTACTATAACTAAAAAGTAAGTTCAACCGTAAATTTGAAGTAGTAAAATTATAAAACTGGAATATATTTTAAGGTTAATGATGATTTAGGGCTTATATGGGATAGAGTTTCTTCCTTTATTAAGATAGTTAAATAGGATAAATACTCATCATTTCATAATTTTACAACAACAACAAAAAAAAATTGACCTTTATTTTATAATTAAAACACAATTTTAATATGATGTTCATGTCATTTTTAAAAGTTTTTATTCATTAAGACGGGGTATACGCGCAAAGCGCGTACTTAAAACTAGTATAATTAAAAAAAACAATCACATAACTTCGGTAATTGGAGGTAAACTTAGAAATCATAAGGAAGTAAATTCTCTTGCACTCGATTTAATGTTACTTTTCGATATTCCTGCTTAATCAATGTCATAATGAGAACAATAAATATTAATCAAGCTTTTATCAATTCCTACTTTATAAAGAACTCTTCATAATCATTCATCATGAATTGGACAAGCTTAAATTATCCTCAAATTGAAGAATTTCTTTTTGAGGCTTGCAATATTCAAATTTACCTTTTCAAATTATTTTCTTAAAAAAGCGTAAAAATTATAAAATGACTAAAATATTATATAAGCAATATGTGAATATATATTAATACATCGTACTTCTCTCTATAGGCTTCTAGAGCAAATACATAACCATATAACAAACTATAATAAGGCATTTGATGACTTCAATAGGACATAATTTCTTCTTTTATTGAGCTAGATAAAATCGACATACATCATTTTCAAGAACTTACTATCTTTTAGTTTATATTTAATAACTCAAAAATACTGTTTAGTATATTAGTATAATTTAAAAATTACACTTAATAATATAGGTTCACGCGCAACACGCGTACTCTAAGACTAGTATAATAAATAAAACACAAGGACAAACATTCTAAATATTGGACTATATTTACCGTAATATATTTTCTTGCACGAACAACTATATGTTACACATTCAAAGAGATATCAACATCGACAACAAGAGTTCTGGTTAAGGCAGAGCAACCAAAGCATTAGGAGGAAACATACACAAAAAAATATTGTCCACAAAGAGGTGTTCATTATGATACCATCACATTAAATACCTTTAAACTATAATATATAATTATCCAACAAACACGACAAAATAGATCATTTGTGTAAGTTTTGATGATGTTATTTTAAATTCATGTATTATGCTAATGTAATAATATTTTATGGCATATTTAGATGATTGTGCATTATTATACATAAAAAACTTCTCATTAATTAAATTTTATCATTCTTTCATATAAAAAATATTTAAATTATCACGTGTCATTATTAACGTGCAAACACACGTTCATAAATATCATTAGTTTCAAAATTACACATCATTTCTTGAGGTAAAAACGTGACATATGTAAAAGATAAGTAGTAATATAAATACAATGGGTTGGCATCCTCAATCCAAATGCTCAGTTTACCAAACTTCAAACTTCAAACTCGTTGTTGTCTGTTGTGGATAAGACTTGATACCACGTTTGGGACTCATCTGGTAGTTGGACAAAGTTATTGCATTAGCGGTGGGTTAGCGTTATAATGTGTCTCGCAAAAAATTTAACCGTTGATTTGCAGTAAAAACTAGATTTTTAATACAGTAATTGCCTAGCTTTTTTTTTTCTTTCCAAAATAGTGCAAGTAATTAAAGAATTGCTTTTGATAGAAAATGTTTTACTTGCCAAAATAGAATTTTTTTAATATGAATTTGAATTAGCCGGTTCCAAAATGTTATTAAACACCGGGTGAAAAATCAACCGAAATAGGAGCATTATGTAATCCCAATGTTGTCATGATCTACTAACGAATTCCTTAATCATTGTTAATTTGATTGAAAAAATAATACTCCTACAACTTTATAACTACTTTTCAGAGAAACTGTTTGATTTGTTTTTGAAGAGTAACAGGTGCATGACTTAATACATGAAACGACGGAAAATAGTCCGTTGTAGCCTTGCACCATGTGTTTATATGATTATATCTAAACAAGCAATTTATAATATGAATCACTAATTAAAGTAAGAATATATCTCAATTAATCGTGATTAAATATAAAAAGTTATATACGAAACACATACGTTGAATATTTGTTAAAACTATGTTGTTATTATTTGCTTGGTATAAACAACACATTGGAACAATTTTTTCTATTTGATGATACATCTAAATTTCATGGATCATGAATGTTTGTTGAACAAGCATGGCGATCTACGCCTCTTGTGCATAGTGATGTTGGATCCAATGATTGTTACAGCTCTTATTTGTATCAACAAATTTACAGCGTTTGGCCTTCTTCTGCTTTTTTGCCCCTGCATTTCTGCTCAGCCGTCGAAGACCAATCATCTCTTCTTTTTCATGTCCGGTACTTATATTGGGGTTCGATTAAATTCGAGTCCGCATGAAAAATCCTACAAAGCGATTAGGATAAAGTGCTCCCAAACAAAGCGATTCTACACCCAATACTTAAATTCAAAATCTTTAATTAAGGATAAGTTGAACTTATCTCTCTACCACAACCTTAATTTGTTGGTCCAATCTTTATCGTATAGAAGGTCTAGCAAGAGTCTAAAATATATCACCTGAATTCTTGTCGATGAAAAATGTAGTTATTGTTAAACAGAGGAAAAAAAAGAGGGCAAACTGTGAAGTGTTGCAATTGATGCATTATACGATTGTTGCCAATCTAACTGTTTTCTTTTCTTGGTGATAATATTTTGGTGTAGGAATTCCCTACTCAAATTAAATCCACGATAACCCTTTTTCTTATCCAGCTAAGAGAACCTTTGGACTAAGCAATTGCAGGACAAACAGTCATACAACTACGACATAAGGACACGTTAGCATCTAGCTGCTGACTCATGCAGTTCCACATTCTCACCACGTTGCATGAGAAATTGCTCACCTATAGCCAACATCAAACCACCTGTCAATTCTCATGAAGTACTTATCCCAATCCTGACCATGTTCATACGCTGAATTCTCTAACCTTTCTTTCTTATAAAGGCATCGTTTCTGAAGTCAAGTCTCATACTCTCAGTCGGATACTTCAAACTCTTTACAAACCAAAGGCAAACAGAAACCAACTAAAGTACTCGTGTTCTGTTAGCACAATGGCTTCACAGCAAGAGAGAAGAGAGAACGTTACTGATGAAGGGGAAATCAACCTTGAGAAAAATAAAGTTCCCCAAATTGCTAGCCATTTTGAGTCACTAGCTGAGAAAGTTCAAGGTGTAGCCGATGTCCATCCTGCTGGTCCTGGTGCTATTCATGTCAAGAGCACTGTTACTGATCAAGGCGCACATGAAAAGAAATCTCATGGTCATGAGCAAGAGTCTCAACAAATGCAGCAAGCTCAGAGGAAAAAAGAGGGTGATATACAAAGGGAGAAGCTGCCGTCTACTGATCAAGCTAAGAGTTCTGAGATTGTTAATGAGGGGAGAAAGCAACAAGGATTTGAAGAGAGACCAGGTGGCGTCAAATTTGAAGTTCATGGCCAAGAACAAAAGGGTTCAGACACAAGCAGAGAAACCCAAATGCAAAAGCAGGAAGGTGAATCTCGTGGCCAAGGCATAAGTTCGATGCAACAAAGCAGAGGAGTTGCTACAGGTTAGAGCGTGATCAGTTGAATACTCTTACTGAATACTCTTATTATTATAGGAAAATTATAGGGTGATCAGTCGAATCCTCTGAAATAGAAAAAATTCTAGTACTAAATAGTGTGTGTACATAAGTCAAATAAAATTACTTATATTGTGTTTATGTAATTGAAATAAAACTATACTGTACTGTGTATATAAGTAACACCGTATATAAGTCAAATAGAGGGTGATAACTTAGAAGTTAGGACACTCTTTCCTCGAAGAATATAGCTATTATTACGGTGAATTATTACTCCCTTGGTTCCGAAAATATTGGCACTATTTTTACGTTTCAAAAAGATTGGCACAAAGTTTAACATTTTTATATTTTCTTAATGGAAAGTTTCTATCGCTATTATATTTCTTTGAAGTTTTTATAGCCACAATGACTTGTTTAAGGCTACATACTTTAAAAAATTTATAGTATATAAATGTTATGGCATATTTAAAACTATAAATCATCTTTTCTTTAATTAGAGGAACTTAAATGAAATAACTTAAACTTTGGCACAAATTAAGAAACTTAAACTTTGTGCCAATTTAAATACTTTGGATGCACAAATGTTAAACATTTTTAACACCGTTAACGATACATCGCCACTTGCAGGTGGCCAACAAGAGACAGAAACACAAGCAAGGGGCAAAGGTGAAAGCAGAGCAGGGGAAGTAACTCATGGTACTACTGAAGAGACAAAAGGTCCATCCTTGGAAGAAATATCTCAATACAGGGGCACAGCACAGCAGAATTCCATGGAAGCAATAAGGGCAGCTGAAGAGCGCTACGAAAAGGCCAAGGAAAAGGGTGCCTCCTCATTGCAAAATGTTAAAGAATCGGCTAGTCATGGACTTGGCGCAGCAGGTACATATGCAACAGAAAAAGGTGCACAAGCTAAAGACACTGTTACTCAAGGTGTTCAAAAGGGAACTCAGTATGTTGCTGAAAAAGCTGGAGCTGCTAAAGACACTGCCCTTGAGAAAGGCCAACAAGCTTACGCTGCAACTAAAGATACCCTTTCAACTGCTGGACAAACTGCAGTACAATCAGCACAACAAGCTAAAGATTATGTTGCCCAAAAAGCAGGAGAGACTAAAGAATATGTTGTCTCAAAAACAGAGGAGGCTAAGGAAATAGAAGCTCCTTTCCCAGAGAGTGTTCAAGAAAAGAGCAAGAGTGCAACAAGCTATGCAGGAGAAAAAGCAGCTAAAGTTAAAGATGTAACAGTGGAAACAGGGAAATGTGCAGTAGGATATGCAGGGAAAGTAGCTGAAACAGTGAAGGAAAAAGCAGTAGTGGCTGGTTGGGGAGCTGCACATTTTACAGCAGAGAAAGCTGCTGATGCTACTAAAGCTGTTGCTGGTGTTGCTTCTACTGTTGCGGGGTATGCGGGAGATAAAGCGGTGGCGGCGAAGGATGTGGTTGCTGATGCTGGGAAGAAAACAGTTGGATATGCGGAGGATAAGTTGGTTGCAGCAAAGGATTATGTAGTTTCAGCTGAAGAAAGTGCAGCAGAGTATGCAGCTAGGAAAAAGGCAGAAGCAGAGAGAGAATTAGAAGCTAAGAGATCACACGACACCAAGGTAAACAAACGGTAATTGGTTTTCCTTAAAACAGTAGGTAGTGTCGAGTTAATGGTACATTTTGCTTATGATTTTTATGCTGCCATATATGAATCCTGACATATTTGACAGGAAGAAACAAAGGTGGAGGAAAAAGAAAGCGGACTCAAAACAATGGAGAAAGTCAAAGAGTCCATTCAAGAAGAATCAGGAGAAGGAGAGAAAGGCAAGCAGTTGGAGGAGGGAGCAGCAGTGGTATTGCAAGCCATTGGCGAAACTATAGTTGAGATTGGGAAAACAACTACTGATCTTGTTGCTGGCCGCACCAAGGGGGAGGAATCAGTGGGAACTGAGAAAAGTCAATCACAATAAAATAGCTTGAGATGGACATTTTAGGATTTCACTTGGTTTGGATTTAGCTCTAGATTTTGAAGTTCGTTTTGGTTCTGTTGAAGGGTGGATGTTAGATTGTCAAATAATTAGCGTAAATGATAGTGTATGTTTTTGTCGATAATAATATGATAAAACCTTATTTGGTGTGACACATAGCCACTTATTCCTGTGCTTTCCTTTAGGTTTCAACTTTATAATTGATCAATGGATGAAAGATTCACGTACACGTACAAATTTCAAAACTCGAAATACAAATCCGCAGGGCTGATATTAAGGAACCGTTTGGTCATATATTTTGCCAAATAAAATTCATAAATCTCAAATTTTAAAATCAGTTCAATAGTTGATTTTGGACAACAATATTTACAAACATTAATAATATATATGTTTTTAAAATAAATTTGGAAAATAATTTTAAAAACTGATGTCCAAATATATTTTCTATCTTCAAATAAAACTTCACCCAAATTAGATTTTTTAAAATAAATTTAAGAATCTATGACCAAACGCTAGCTAAAAGTATAGCCAAAGGTTAACAAACCAGAACCTAAATGTTATTCTTTTGGACTCAAATTTTTAAGTGTAAAAAATGAGTTATATATATATAACGAGGATTTACACCGCTCTATATTTTAACGGTATTTTGGTCGTTACAGTATAACGTGATGTAAAATCACGTTATACATGTATAACGCATGAATAAATAGCGCTATGCTAATCTGATTTGACAGATTATATATATAGTATATTTATGTACTGCACTATACCTGTATGTGGGCCCACCAATAAGTTTTCTGCGGTTAATAGACATAACAATAATTCAAATAGGTATAACGCTCTTTTAAATGGGTACATCAAAAAATTCAGTCCCTCGAGCTAGGCATTANGGGGGGGAGAGGATGAGGTTGTAGTGGAGAATAACTCTCTGAGGTATAGTTTTTCTCCACAATGTCATGTTAATTGCCGCTTACAATGGAGTACGATACATTGATATCGTTGTTATGAAAAAAAAATGAGTGTGGGGAAACGTTCTGTGAACCCTAAAGTAACTGGTAGATATCTGTATTCTGTGACTTCGTAGAGGTTTGCTTGTTATTCTGAGTTTAACATCGAAGATGATGAAACTCTGAGAGATTTTTTGCGGATTCCGGATGAATACAGGGAATTTATTGTGATAAAATTGTTAGAAATGTACGTCAAAGCTGAAGATGTTCGCAATAATGATATTGCGCAAAGCATAGATAACCCCCAGTCATCGGAAGGTTATTCTGGAGCAATTTTAGCCCAACTGAAAGAGTTTGGCCGAATCTTAACTTATCTCTGCGGGCAAACGAGGAGCGAGAAAATAATTTCTCTCCTACTTTACATAATACACAAGATGACTGGTAAACTTCAATTTTCCTTTCTGTTACAATATTTTTTTTTGTTGAATTGAATTTGTATTAACACTCATATATTCCATAGGGGGTACCGTCTGGATATGAATTTTACAAGTTATGACCCCACGCCCAATTGGAATATGCGTAGTTTTGGCGTGCTGGATCACGGTGGTCATCCGGGAGTCATCACCAACAGGAAAATATCCATCATGAAATGTCAACACAGTACGACTTGTATGTGAAGTGATATAGCTATATGTAAAGTATTTATCAATTTGAGTAGCTTATCATTTTGTTGTTTGTGCAGTGAAAACGAGCAACTTGATGGTTCTGACCTTACTTAGTTGCCCATAGACGACGTATTTACTCGGGATTTGGCTGATGCGCAGAGTTAGGAAGATAATAGTGATTTTGACAACAACGCCGATGAGTCTGGAGATGACACACCCTTCCCTGACGAGGGTGATGATGATGAGGAAGTATTGTCGAACCTGAGCTGACGAGGGAGCATGCTCCTCCACCTCCCGTTAGACCAAGAGTGTACGAGTCCCATGTGACGTTTCATTCAAGAAATATTCACTACCTTGATAATTTTTCAAGTATGCCGGATGTGGATGCTCTCACAAGGGATATTGACAAATTTCGATCAGCAATATGGGATGAGTCTAGACCAACGGTACTGGCAAAGGGCATGTATTTTCCCGATAAAGCTCGCCTAACCAGGACTGTAAAAATGTATAGCATAAGAGAGTGCCATGATATGACGGTATGAGAGTCAACTCCGGAGGTATACAAGGTCGTATACCGTAGATACTTTATGGGTTGTAACTAAATGTTGCGTGCGAGCAAGAAGGAAACGGGGTTGTGGAAAGTGGATAAATATATTGGCAGCCACATTTGTAAATGGACACATTTAATGAAAATCACTTCAACTTGGATGTTGACTTGATTTCTCTTGTCTTGATTCCACACTTGGAAGTGTCCATTAGGTATAAGATCAAAGAGTGTATTACATCCGTCCACCAGTAATATGGGCGTACTATAACCAAAAGAAAGACATATCTCGGGCGCAAACATGCATTTGAATTTATTTATGGTGACTGGGATAAGTCATTTTCATCTCTACCCAAGTACATGGCCGCACTGAATCACTTTAATCCCGGGACTGTTGTTGAATGTAGGCATGAGCGGAGTCCAGGAATACCGAAATATATATTCAGATAAATGTTTTGGGCATTTAAACCAGCAATTGATGATTTTGTGCATTGCCGTCCGGTAATTTTCATAGACGGTACGCATGTCTATGGAAAGTATGATATTAAGCTGTTGATCACCGTTGCAGTAGATGCCAATGGACAAATATTTCCACTAGCTTTTGCCATTTGTGCCAATGAAAGTGAAGAGACGTGGATGCTATTTTTGAACCACTTGAAGCAGCACGTTGTCAAACAATGTTTAGGTATTTGTCTAATATCCGATCGGCATAGTGGTATTTTAAGTTCTGTACGACATTTTGCCTGAATGGAAGAAACCCTATGCATACCACTGTTACTGTGTGAGGCACCTGAAGGCCAATTTCCAGAAGAAATATCCCACCAAGGAATTGCATGATTTAATGTGGATGGCTGGAACTGAGCACCAACAGTGCAAATTTAGGAGGCGCATGAAAGTGATCCGACAGTTAGACAAAAGAGCCTATAATTGGCTGATGGGACATGAGCTTCACAAGTGGACATTGCATGCTAATGGTGGCAGATGATGGGGAGCCCTGACTACAAATGTGTCGGAGCCATTCAACGGCCTATTGAAGTCTGCACATGGATTTACCTGTCACTGCCATGGTTCGGATGTTATTCAAACAAATAGCGGAGGGGTTTGTTGAAAGGCATAAATCTGCATCAGAATTGATGGACAAGGGTGTTGAATTTATGCCAATACCGATGAGAAGATTTGAGAAATACAGGAGGCGATCATATTAGCATTCATATTTATAGTATGATCACGACTGGGGTATTTTTATAGTTCGCACCGTTATCCGCGGACACCTGGGGGAATAATATACACACCGTGAATAAAGCCAGCAGGTTGTGTTAATATGGGAAATGGACCATCTACCACATGCCGTGCGCACATGCCATAAAGTGCTTTCAACAAATTGGTTTAGGGGCAACCAACTATGTTGATAGATAATACAGTATTGCTGCATATGTAAACACATATAGTGGGCAGTTGTAGCCATTGGGTGCTGAGCATTATTGGTCGCTGGAACCATTTAAAATGTTGTGCAACAAGGACTATTTGCGCAAGCTGCAAGTGCAAAAGAGAACGCGTATACGGAATCAAATGAATGTTGGTGATACCGTTTATGTGCATAAATGTGGCATATGCTCGCAAACAGGACACGACCGTCGTAAATGTCCTTCAGCTGATTTGGGTGGCGGTGGTAATCCAGCTCCTTATGCAAGTTCGTCTAATGTACCCAACTATCAAGGATACACCTAGTGTTTTATTTTCGTAATGTTTTTTTTAATAAGTGTTTGTACTTGTTTATATTGCAAGATGTATCAAATAAAATTATGTTCCACATCTTTGTTACATCTTATTATCTAACATGACCTTTTAAATTGGAATGATGATATGATAGTTCCAACATTCAACTTATTGGTGTTAGTAAAGAAGACCAATATGAAGATTGAAATTTCATAACATAATACTTCAAGAGAAAAAAGCACAACAACCATAAATAAAGAAAAATACATGAAAATAAAAGATAACAAAAGGATAAATCAAGACAAACACATCCTAGTACCAAGTAAAAAAACGGATTAGTACAAACAGAATATCCATCTTCCTTCATGTCGCTACTAAAAATTTGGTTTTAGCGACGGACAAATTCTGTAGATAAATAGAAAAATCCTTCGCTAATCTAATTTAGCGACGGATTAGCGACAGATTATCAAGAAATTCTGCTAGCTACGTGTGATGACCCAAAAGGTCATCACTTGTGTTGCAAGTGCATTCAATGTTCCGAGGCCTAAAAAACTCCCTTTTACCCTACCTTGATTTACGTGTGTGGTCCGGACCTATATTCGGAAAGCCTTCTATGTGAAAATATGAGAAATAGAAATTTTAGAGTTAAAATTTTGATTAAGGTTGACTTTGGTCAACATTCTTAGCAAACGGACCCGGATCTATGTTCCGACGATCCCGGGAGGTCCGCAGTAAAATATGGGACTTGGGCGTATGCCGAAAATGAATTCCGAGGTCCCAAGCCTTAGAAATCAATTTTTGAAAGAAATTATTTTACTGAATTATCTAAGGAATAAAGAAAAGAATTAATGTTTGAAACCATTGTTATAGGGCCCGTATTTTGGTTTTGGAGCCCGATACAAACTTGTTATAGTATTTGAAAGATAACTGTGAAATTTGGTGAAAAACGGAATTTATTTGACGTGAGTTGGACTTCCGGTTGAAGAGTTATGAACTTTGAGAATTCTTGATGAAAATGTTGAGTTTTGAGGTTTAATTCATGATTTTACATGTTATTTTGATGATGTGATCGCACGAGTAAGTCCATATGATGTTTTTGTGTTAGTATGACATTTGGTTTGGAGCCCCGAGGGCTCGGGGTGAGTTTTGGGATGTTTTTACACTTAGGAAAAAGTTGTAGATTCCGAGCAGTTGTAGGTCTCTGAAGCCAGGTCTCGCGGTCGCGGTGGAAGCTTCGCGGCTGCGATGGGGACTTCGCGACCGCGGTGGGATTTGTGCGGTC